CACACACACACACGCACCACGGGAGGGGCTGGTGGATGTTTCCCCCCCGCTCCGGAGTTGGCAGCGGGGATGCTCCCCCCACGCCCGCCCTGGGCAGAGTTTTCCCCCAGCCCTGCCCGCGCTCCGGCTCTTTCAGCCCGAAGGAAGAAATCAACACATCCTGGGGTGGGTTTTTTTTATCGGGGTGTTTTTTTTTGGGGTGGGGGGGAAGGGAGGAGGAAAGAGGAGAAGCGCCTGGGTTTGCCTGGAAGCGCAAACGCCCGCAGGAGCGGGGCTGGGTGCGAGGAGCGAGATGTGCAGCTTTTCCTGCCGGGAACCCGCTGCTCCTTCCAGCTTTGCGGGGTTATTCCCAGCGCTCCTGCCACACCGCGGGCGGTCCCCGGCTTTGCTCTGAAGGGTGGAGGGGAAGGGGTGGTCAGAGGGGAAAAGAAAGGGGGAAACTCACCCAGAGAGTGAGGGGTGGGGGGGAGGAAAGGGAGGTTGGGGCTCGTTTTGAAGGCACCACTTTGGAAAAGCAAATTGAAACGCCCTTCGCTGAGTTTACTTTCTGTACTTCATTCCAGAGCAGCTCAGTTGTTGCTCAGCCTTGTCTATTTCAATAGGGTGTTAATCCAATCATAACATAATAAAAAAGGAGGAACCAGCTAAGTGAAGATCCAATCTAATCTGGCGTTTCCCAATCCTCTGGCCATCGGTGCCCGGCGCTTGCTGAGCGCTCTTCGGAGGAAACAAAGAGCATTGATTCCATTTGTTCCCTCCAACTGCAGTTTCTTAACAACACCAGGTGAAGATTTATTTTCTTAAGGATCAAACCAAATCGAGCAGGGCGAACCCTTGAATGCAGAGAGCCCCTCTCCCCCGTTGCCAGCCTGCTGCCCCATTCCAGGGCACCATCCCGCAGCTCCCCCCGCACAGGGGCAGGACGGGCAGGACTTCGCAGGGGACCCGCACACCCGGCTCATTCACTGACCAGAAACACATCTTGCCAGCAATTTTTTTTCCTCCTTTCCCCGGGAATCTATGACATTTAGCAAGGGTAACAAGAAACTAATAGATATTATAGATCATTTCTTCCCGGGTTTTTTTCCCTGACAACCGTTCAAGTGCAAAATAGACTCGTTAAGGCAATGAAAATAGATCCATAAACTTAACTGGAGTCCTCATTAAAACTACCCTGTTGTTTTCTACACAACACAGGAGCCTCATGCTCTCCACTGTTATTAAGCACTTGGCCATGACCGATTTGATGTAATAATTAGGAACTTGTTATAACTGAAAAGACAGCTCTGATGTCAACGGGACTTACAAACACTGTGTCACACTGGTTTATTATTTTTACTACATTTACTCATACTGTAAAAATAGCAGCCAGTCTATTCTTTCTTTGGGAGTTTATTCAGGTCCAATGCAGCTATAATAGGCTGTTCTTTGAGAGCTGGTGATGAAGTTTCTCTTTTGCTGAACTCATTCATCTCCATCAGCAACCTCTCAACCAAAAAAGGGGGGATAGGGAGATGGTAGCACAGTGATGTGAAGCCCCCAGATGTGGATCAATGGATCTGTTAACCTGGAGTTTCTGAGCTTTTTAGTAGCTGAGCTTTATGAAAAAGCAAAGCCTAAAGGTGCTGTTAAAGCAGACATCCCTACATTCTGGAAGAAAAGTTGGGGAGTGAAATAGAAAGTCAATTATCCAGAGCTAAATTTCTCTTCTAGATATGTGCCTCCCACCTTCTCTTATGAGGTTTTCCTCTTGGGTCTAATGCTGAGAGAGGGTTTGACTAGTTTATTTTTTTTCCTCTTTCTTTTTGAGTTGTCATTTTGTTTTGTAATTACTTAAGGGTTTTATAGCTCTGCTGGAAAGACAACAAAATTGCAGAGATGTTGCTCTAACCTGAAAGGAATACTAGGAAGGTCATTGCTCTTTGTATTAGGTGAACCTTAAATGTTATTAGGACTTTAAATTGTTTTTTATTAAATGTTATTGTTCAGATAAATCATATGTGGGGATACTGGACAACATATCTGTCTCCCCAGCTGTCTTCTTTATTTGCTTATCTTTTTAAGACTACGAATTTGTCTGTCTGTGTCTGCATATTCTCCATCTTCTAATGACCTATAGCTGCTTCTTGATATTATTTGAAGACCCATTAGAGCTCTTGTCCAGCTGCTGTTTCAAACCAGATACCTTAAATGGTGCAGTGCCCCTCCCCAGCTCCCAAACAGCAGACGAGCTCTGAGCATCTTCCTATGGATTTCTTTTTATTAAACTTGTATATCTCTCTCTTACAAAAACCTGGCTGGTGGCTCAGGCAGCCCGGGTGAGGGCTCTTTCTCCTCAGGGACCCCTGTTCCTACATGCCTTGTTGCTCCAGCTGCCCTCCCTTTGCTCCCAGCTAATTTATCTTTCCATTTGTTGCAGGTACCGCCTGTTAATGAACTCTCCCTTTGCCCTGGCCATGAAAAAGAGAGAAGACCTGAGGTAGCAGCATGGTTTGCAGCTGAAGGCTTGGGGAACTTGGTGCTCAGTTGCCAAAAGGCAAAGACAGACAGAAATCCTCTCCTTCCAGTGCCCCACAGCTGTTACAAGCCACAGAGGGAGAAGCAGCAAGGCCAGCACTGCTCCTGCCAACCCACCCACCACCCTGGGACCCCCGCGGATGCCGCCACCAAACACATTGACACTGACACAGCCATCCTTTGGGAGCAAGGAATTTTAGCTCCAAAGAATCTCTCTTGTCAGAGTGATACTGATGAGTGGATGCTATATTTATGTATTCATGTTCAACAGCCCCAATCATTATTTAAGGCAAACCACAGCTTAAGGTGCTTTCCACAGCGACGCATTTGCGGCGGACAAGAAGGTTGAGGAAAACCTGATCCAGCACCATCTCACAGCCTCTCCAATTTACTCCTATCAAATTTCATCAGCATCTCAGAACTTGATCTTTCTATTGATTGACTAGAGTCACCTCTAGATATTTTCATGCTGATTTGGAAGGCCTTTCATACAATAAAAGGGGGGAAAATGAGGTTTAAGGAAGACTTTTAACCACTGATCAGCAACCCTGGCCAAAACTTTCCTAATCAAGTGACTTCTGTGCCAAGAGAAACTTTCCACATCCAAATACAGTGTGGGATCATTCCTGGTATTGTCTGGATCTCCTTCTACTGGATCATTTTTAGATGAAGAGTTTCCATGCTGATCCTGAGAGCAACCCCTAGCCCAGTAGCTGCCTTCCTTGGGACTCTCGGCACTGCCCTTGCCCAGGGATCCCGTGCTTGGCTGCAGCTGCCATGCTCTACCTGCTTGCTTTCCTCTTGCAGTGTTTCCCCTTGGCCATGGGACAGTATGACATTTGCAAGTCCTGGGTGACCACGGACGATGGCCCCTCATGGGAGTTCTATGCCTGTCAACCCAAGGCCATGCGGATGAAGGATTATGTGACTGTGCGGGTGGATCCAGCA